TTCCTCAAGGGTTGAATTGCGTGGCAGGCGCAGCACTGCCACAAGGCCAGGTGCAGATTTCGTGGCAGGCGCAGCACTTTCGTAAGGTCAAGTAGATTTCGTGGCAGGGGCAGCACTTTCTCAAGGTCAAGTACAGATTTCATGGCAGGCGCAGCACTTTCGCAAGGTCAAGCACAGATTGCGTGGCAGGTGCAGCACGTTCGCAAGGTCAAGTGCAGATTTCGTGGCAGGGGCAGCACTTTCGCAAGGTCAAGCACAGATGTCGTGGCAGGCGCAGCACTTTCGCAAGTTTAGGTACGCATAGAGAGATACACAGATAGATAGATAGATAGACAGATAGATAGATAGATAGATAGATAGATAGATAAAGAGAGAGAGAGAGAGATAGATAGATAGATTAGATAGATAGATTAGATAGATAGATTGGATATAAAGTAGAAGATAGATTGGCTAGAAAGTAGATGGTTAGATAGATAGCTAGATAGATCGGTAGATAGATTGAGAGATAGATAGAGATAAAAAGAGAGATAGATAGATGGATAGATAGATAGATAGATAGATAGAGAGAGAGAGAGAGAGAGAGAGCGAGATCGAGAGATAGACAGATAGATAGATAGATGGATACATAGATAGACAGAAAAAGATACAGATAGATAGAGAGATAGATATATTGATAGCTAGATAAAAGAGAGAGATAGATAGAGAAAAAGAGAGATAGATAGATTGATTGATAGATAGATAGATAGATAGAATAGACAGAGAGATAGCAAGAGAGATAGGCCCCTGGTAGACAGATAGATACATGGATGGATGGATGGATGGATGGATGGACGCATGGACAGATAGAAAGAGAGGTAGGTAGATAGACAGATAAGCAGATCGTCTGGTGAACCGATAGAAGGGCTTCAGTAGGTAGACAGACAGGTTGATGGGGCATGGAAAGATCGACCCATGGATCTGCAGATAGAATGACACATGCATAGGTGGCTAGATATGTTACAGAGAAGGTGAAATTGTCCGATGAACAACTGGATGGGGCGAGGCCACGCGGATACACTCGCCCGCACACGCGCCCGCCCGCCCGGCCCGGCCGCGCGCGCGCGCGCCCGCGCGCCCGCCCGCCCGGCATATGGATCAACCGGACAAACCGGCAGACAGATGTCTGGGCGAAGTCGGTCAAAGTGGCTCCGAGCTCGAGCCGAAAAATCTGCCACGCGTGCCGGCTCAGGCCGCGTGGTCATGTCAAGGCAGTAAAAATTGGCTTGCGCTCGAGCCGAAAAATCTGCCACGGGTGCCGTCTCAGGCCGCGCGGTCATGTCACAGAAAAAGTTGGCCTAAGGCTTAGGCTCGAGCCGAAAATCTTCACGCGTGCCGGCGCAGGCCGCGTGGTCATGTCAAGGCAGCAAAAGTTGGCTTGGGCTCAAGCCGAAAAATCTCCACGCGTGCTGGCGCAGGCCGCGTGGTCATGTCAAGGCAGTGAAAGTTGGCTTGGGCTCGAGCGGAAAAATCTGCTACGCGTGCCGTCTCAGGCCGCGTGGTCATGTCAAGGCAGCAAAAATGGGTTTATCTCGAGCCGAAAAATCTACCACGCGTGCCGGCTCAGGCCGCGTGGTCATGTCAAGGCACCAAAAATTGGTTTATCTCAAGCCGAAAAATCTGCCACGCGTGCCGTCTCAGGCTGCGTGGTCATGTCACAGGAAAAGTTGGCTTAGGCTCGAGCCGAAAAATCCTCACGCGTGCCGGCTCAGGCCGCGTGATCATGTCAAGGCAGCAAAAGTTGGCTTGGGCTCGAGCCGAAAATCCCCACGCGGCACGAGCCAGAAAATCTTTTGCAGGAGGCGGCCGGAAGAGAAGAAAAACTACGCGGGCTACTTCTTCCTTGGAGTATGCGACCCCTGACGTCGTGTTGGGGGAATACGTCCTGGACCCGGAAGATGACGACGCACTCATGGACAGGTTCGGTGACCCAGGCACGCCTCCACCGTGGCCAGAGTCGTCGCCAGAGTTCGTGGGCGAGCTTCCACACTCGGAAGATGAGTGCGCGTAGCTGTCCACCATGCCGAACTAGGTGAGCGGCGTGCTGACTCAGGCCGCCCTGCTCTAGCGGCTGCATGCCGTTCTGCGACTGCTCGCAGGCCTCCACGGCGCGCTGCTCCTGGCGTTCGTGCGAGGCATCAGCGCGCGTGCCAGCGCAGGCCGCGCAAGCGCACGAGAGCGAAGCGACCGTGTGGCCTCGGAGCTACGCGCGTGCCGGCTCAGGCCGCGCGTGGCTGACCTTTGCGTAGGGCTTCGAAGCGCGTGCCCAAGCAGACCCACAGCTGGCTCAGAAAAAGAAAGCGCGAACTGCGCAGGGGAGGAGATAACAGGTTGTCGGTGCTTTTGTTTCTTTCATATATGCGTTGTGCGCACAGAAGCGACAGCGCACTGGACACATATATGATATAGGGACATATACAGCGGGCGTCTACATAAGAAATATCGGGACATGTACGCATAAGCA